GCGCCGGACCCTCAGCGCCGGTATATAAGAGTCCAAATACGTTGAGTCTGTAGTTAATGGTGACTACGACTACGTCTCCCAGTGCTGATAGGACTTCCCCCGAGTAAAACTTCTCGACCGATGAGCCAAATACGAGTCCTCCTCCGTGTATCCAAAACATGACGGGTTTGAGAGCACCGGCAGATTTTGCGTTGACTGGCGTCCATATATTTAAGTGCAAGCAATCCTCGCTCATGTTGTGGTTAAAGTAATCTTGGTGAAGTTTATGGTGATAACACGCCGGTGGCCAGTGTTGGGCATCCAATGGTTGTTCCCATTTGCGGTCCAACGGTAAGGGCTTTTTGAATCGCAAGTCTCCGATAGGCGGCTGTGCGTAAGGAATGCCTAAAAACACGTCTAAATCCCTGCCCTCATATGTCTGTCGTTTGCCATTAATTAAGCCGTTTTTGATTTGAACGCTAATTGTGTCCACATTTTCATTGCTATTCACGTCAACACTATTCACGCAAACTATTGTCAACACAATTATGTTGAACACAATTAATAGACTTTTAAAAAACATTTCTTTGTATTTAATGTGTTAACTATATCACCAAAAATTAATATCACAATAAAATATATTTAAAATGAGTATTAGAGGTATAAAGAAGTTATCAAATAAAATGTTAGCGACAAAAATTATTTTATTTATGTTATATTTTATTATCATAACTTCACTATAAAAAATGTACTATACACCTTGTTATCAGTACTTATAAGTACATTATGTTATTCTCTGACAATTTGTGCCCAATGTACTCAATGTTAAATACTATGTATGCAATTAAATATATTTTAGACTTTATATGTCTGTTAATCCTGTTTTATTTTAAATTATATTTAATATTTAAATAAACATGTTAAATTTAGTAGGATTACTCTAAATTTTTAAAAATAAATTATCTCATACTTATAAATATAAATTATCTCCAAGGTTAAATAAGTGTACTTTACGAATTTTATAATGCTCAAGGTTAACCAAACTGATAGATTAGGTATAAACTTATATTTTACAAATATATATTATCTCACAAGTTTATAAGTACAGTATAATTAAACAGACATAACTGACTTAACTGGGAAATTTCGGGTGCATTACGGTTGGAGTCACCTAATAGCACCTGTATGCATGTTTTGAGTACAATTTCAAAGGTTTAAATAAAAGGTAAGTCTGTAACACTTGAATCAGTGTAGGAAATGTACTTAATGTGAACTAAATATAATATTAGATGATTTTATTTGCTTGGTGACCAGAGAATTACTAATTGGGTTTTCAAATTGGTTATTTGAAAAATGTTCTTACTGACTGTAATTTTATCTTTATTCATTGATATAATCAATTTAAATTGTGCTAGTTATAAATACTGGGTTCTACTGTGGCACGTGTAATTTAAGAAATTAAAAACATGGTTTAAATTTTTATTGTATAACCATGAACAAATTATTTAATGGCAATTCATTTTAATATTCTGACCAACAGTCCAAAGCAATAAAAAATATTATTTTTCAAATTTAAATAAAAAACACAAAATACGTAAAATATATTACAGTTTATTCTTTAAAGTTTAAATAAACTATTTTTAAATAAATTTCTAATAAACAAAAGTAAACACAAAATAATTAAACTTTAATTCAATAATCATAAAAATCAAATAAAAATTTTACAATATTACACAGGTCCAATTTATATAAATGGTTTATTTTCATAAAACCAATTTCTAAATCAATAGATTAAGGAATCGTTAAAATGAATAGCTCTTAGAACACAGTAAAACACATACAGAATATTCTTAGAGCCCATACACGCCGGGGGTTCCGCCACTATTACTATAGCTATAACTATCTCAACATCAGTATCATTAGTGGCCGTCACATCCCTGTGCGCACCACAGAGTCGGTGCTCTCAATGGGCAATAGGAAGAGGCAATAAACGCGAGCACACAATGCGTCTACCGGTGCT